TTAACTAGGTCTGCTCTACTTACTGTATTGAGCACTTTATTTAGTTATTTTGCTTACTCGTATCGGGTTTTTTTCTTTGGACTTGCATGCTAGACGATTATTTTCGGCTAACGTACTTTCTTTTTATATCATTTTGCCCCTTTGGTATTGGTTTGATTATTCGCAAATCAAGACCCCAATGTTTTCGGACAAGTATCATTTCTTATACTTATAAGATTATTATTATAATATATATATATATATATATATATATATATATATATATATATATATATATATAGGCAGCGGCATTTCTTTTAAAGATTGTGAAATATAACAGAAAAGGGAAATTTAATTAATTTTTTATGTAGATTTACCAGTGTTCTTATGTTTTTTTTTTTCGTTTCATTGATGAAAGGGAGTGCAAAAATTGTCCATATTTTCCATTGTCCCAAGCGCTTTCGGCCACTTTACCCAAGGGGGTTTGTTTTAGGTGTTGTTAATTTCTCTTCATGTTTTGAATGTTTAAGGTGTATTATTTTTTTTTATTTTGAATACTAGTAGGTGAGTTTATTTCGAGCCTTTGCGTGTTATTTCCAATGAGTGTTTTTCGCTTTTTTAAAATAAAAATTTTAAACAATCCATTCCCACTTTGAATAAGGTGAAGTTGATAGTAGAGACATATGTTTAATACACAATACCTCTCTTATAGCGAGATGTTTCCGGTAATGTAATTTATAGACAATTTTAGTGTTTTCGACCACAATTTTTCTTAAGTGATCAAGAAAATTGTAGGTAGATATATGTTTTTATAGCACTTTGATCTGACCAGTGACTCGCGAGACGACTACTCAAGAAGATGGTAGTATGCCCAATATAGGTAATTGATTTTTGATAAGAACTCAGAATAGTACTGGACAGTGAAATTATGAGGGAGCAATGAGTAAATTCTCCCTGTATATTTTTAATTTTGCGCATGCGCGTTGTTTGTTTTTTTGATTTTGTCGATTGCACAGTATAGTAGGGTCAGTTGGGGGACCGTCTGTGATTAAAAAGATCGCCATGACGCAATTCACTACACCAGAAATTTGGAAAGGGCACGCTGTAGTGATTGGCATTCGCAGTGGAAACTCCAGTACGAATATTTCAGAGTGTTTGGGTGTCAATCTGAGGACAGTGTAGAAGATTGGGAAAGATATAGATGAGATTAATGGTGATTACGAAGGTGTTTGGAGTGAGCACTAGTGATGACGACGTTATGCCTTAATTCATCTTCCTACAGCGCCTCAGACACAATACGGGGACATACATCAAAAGCCTTTAGAAGGTAGTGCTGCAACTGGGTCAAGAGGGTGGCTGCTGGAAGATTCTACGTCTGGCAACAGGATTCTGTACCATGCCGCATATACAGGAGAACCCAGTCATGAATGTCAGACAATTTCTGCGACTTTATCACCACTTATATCTCGCCACCTAACTCCCGAGACTGCAACTCCATTGACTATTATGTGTGGGGAATAGTTGAGCGAAAGACCAGCAAAACTCCCTGTAAGACCAAAGATGAACTGAAGGTAAGGATTAGAGCAGCATTCACCAAATTAAACAAGGAGACCGTCTAGAAGAGTTGCAGGAGATTCCGATGTCCCGGCCCGTGGTTGAAGCCAATGGCGATTTTATTGAACACAGTTACTCTTTAGTCTAATATTTTCTGATATTTTTGTGCAATTTTGGTAAATATATCTGTTAAAATGAGATGATAGTGTTATTTTCATTTTTGCATAAATCAAGAAAATTAACCAATATATATATATATATATATATATATATATATATATATATATATATATATATATATATAGTGTGTCCCCAGAAATTCATACCCAGATGTCCTCTAGGACACATGGCACAGTGGATAAAGGACCCAAAGAGTGTGAGTTCAATACCCGTTTAAGGCAGTGGAGAACTTTCAGAGGGAAATTATCAGGAGATAACTGATAACTGACATCCATCAAACATGGCACGTGGAACTAGAACAGTCTACCCCAGTGAGCGAAATAAAGGGTTCAGTTTCACATTCCAACCACCTGAAGAAGACCGGAGCGTACAACGGCCGAAACGTTGTGACAAATATGGCGACAAAGATGAGGACAATAGTCCGAATCATGTAAATGATGCACATAATACCTCAACTCAGACTTTGATACACAAGAAATTCGAAACCATTTACATGACAGTCCTGTCTTCTCCTGCGAGAATTTTTGATTGGCGAAAGCGGGAAGTCCTTGTGTCACCGTGCGAACTATGAAATGTCATTAGATATTAAAACTTGATATATCCGTTGTTCAAATCAGCTGGTGTGCTGATAAGACAAGCTAACATCCATAAAAAATAAGCCTAATGATAACATATCTGTCTCGTTTATGCCAGGGGTTTTATATGTTTATCCGGTTTAAAGAGCCATGTCTTTCAAAGCACAAACGAGTGATACAATGCTGTTTCGCAATGGTCATGCTCAGCATTC